CCCCCCACCCCCCACGCCCTGCGAAGTAGAAGAATCAATGAATCTGTCGGGGCACCGAGTGGGACCCGTGTCTACTACTACTACTAAAATTGCTACTACTACTAGTACTACGACGACTACTACTACTACTACTACTACTAGGTAGTAGTAGTAGTGGTGCGACTGGCCCCCGCAACACATGCTTGCATTTCCAGGCCAGGGCTCAGGAAAGCAAAGCGGCCGCCAGGGACCCGACTTTTTGCTTTGCGGTTCTTTGGCTTGCGGAGCTTCTTTGCTTCGGGTCCTCGTAGGGTCTGTCGGGCTTGAGCCTTCCACGGTTTTGGGGTTTGGGCCCTGCGATGACTTCGATGTGCACATGACATGCAAATGGTTTGACGGTGGGCCGTGTTTGCAGTAGAGCTCCAGCCTCTTGGCTTCGTGTTTGCCGGTCTCTGTCAAGGTGGGGCACTCTACATCAAGACCTCTCTTTCCAGCCGGCATCTGTAGCCTATATCCAAGACATTCAAGTGCAAAGACTCCGAACCTGAACAACCCCAAACACTCGAGAAGAATCTTATGCAGAGCCAGCAAAACCCTACAGACTTTAGTTCCTATACCTCACTTGGAGATCTTAGACCTCTTTCGCAACAAAACAGCACTTCTTGAGACGCCTTGGCATTTGAGGCCAGTGCCCGCCTTTGCACTCAAGTTGAAGCCTCAGGGATGCCAAGGACACCATGTGGAGTGGAGTTATGCATGGACATGATCTGATATTCAGAGTAGAGTTGACTAGCGGCCACAGTAACATAAACGCATAATGATTTCGAACTTGATTCAACATTTGATAGTCGCGCATAGACCGGTGCTATCTGTGTTGCTTTCACTAACTGTACTTCTCTGGTTTGCTCTTGCTACTTGCTAGGGTTGTGTGTGTGTGTGTGTTTGCGCAAGCGCGCGTGTGTGTGTGTCTTCTGGTTCAAGTCTTGTTGAGATCTGTTTTCCGTGGTAGTTTGTCTACATTTATTGGGACGCCTATGACGTTGGACATGGGGCGATTTTTAAATCGAAGGGAGGAGAACGACGACGACGGTGATGATGATTGCTTTACACTTGTGGTACCATTAACTTTTCGGATGGTTGTATTCCAGGACCATCATACTGTAGTATGATTACAATATAAAGAACAAGTATATTGTAGTGCAATTATATGACAGTCCCATGCTCTCATAGTATCATTATGTTATGGTACCTTTTTGTTACAGTATTCATGTAGTGTAGTACCATGATGTGTCATCATATCATAGTATCCTGAAATCATGGTGTGCTTATGTAGGGCCGTAAAACTTAGTAATAATTTGAAGAGGGTTTGGCTGTATATGTAAATGTTCAGATCCCTATGGAAGGGTTGGCTTCCTGAGGCCACCTGAGCCCGAGCCGCCCTGCTCTCAGGAAAGGGGGTTACAAGTAGTTATAACCATGGGCAGATATAGTAGTTCCAGTACCTTTGCCACCGTTTTGAGTCTTGTTATCGTCACCACCAGCACACAGACCACCAACACCAACAGCATATCGTCTCCATGACACCCGTCTCCTGGTCCTGGTGATGGTGTCTTTATCGACCTCCGCGGAGCATATTTATCGGCAGTCTTGCATTGCACATCCTTCTCGTGCTAATGCTATACACTCTTGGCAGCTGCATGTTGCCAACTCCAGTGCCTGCATTGTTGATTACCCCAAAGCCAAAGGCTGATATCACACGGAAAGTTCGGTTTGAAATTGTTAGCATCGACGCAAGAGCTGCCTGCATCATGGTTTCTAGTCTTCACTGTCTACAATGCATACGGTTTGTGGTTCTATCCCTTTCGGCGATGCTTCAGAGACTACTCGCAACAGAAGCTAGATACAGTGTTCGTTGCAGAGGTATGGGGCCCTCTCTCGGCCATATCTCGTCAAGTGCATCCGTGAATGAGCAGAGTTGAGGTGGCAGTTGCTGCGGCAAATTCAGCTGTCGCGGACTCGATGCAGGGTGAAACCAGGGCCAGGGCATGTATAGTTTTTTCCGAACTCAGTTGTGTGGTGTTTCTGATTCCACAGCGCACCTAACGTCTGAGAAGTCGGAGATTGGAAGGACAGGAACACTTGCCCAAGCCAACCTCCATCATGCCACCCGTTCTAAGTCCGGCATCCGAGACGGCGTGACACCCAGGTCTGACAAAAAGGAGGAAGAAAACTACGAGCAGGGAGCCACGGAGAGTGTCTCGAGCAATGCCGGCGGCTTTCGAGAACTACCGATCCAATGGAAAAGAAATGAGCAAGACTACGAGCGCCAAAGCCTGATAAGCCCTCTCTAGAGCTGCATGAAAAGCCCCTTGAGGAGCGGTTAGACGTCCCAGCTCCTCAAGAGTCGACCCCCGGAATCCCAGACCTCATAGAGCCCGGTCTCTCCGACACCGAGGATTTCAGAGAAGGGATCGAACTCCGAGGCTTCGGGAGTGTGGGAGTTGGACTTGTAGCATTGTAGCCTCCGTAGTTTGTTTTGTTTTAATAGTTTGTTATGATAGAGTGCACTATAATATACTATAACATACAATTTACTATAATGTAGTCTATAATATACTATGATTAGTATACTCCCTTGGCACCTGGGATGCGGAGTTCCGCGGGGTGTGGCTTTCCGGAGGGTGAGGGTTTAGGGGCTTTTCGGGTGTATCAGGGTGATCCATGAGGGAGCCAGCGAAGCTTCTTAGTAGTCTCCATTGTAGCTCCTTTTTGGGGATACCTTATAGAATCCTAGGTCCTGCAGCCGTGTCCTTGGCGGCGGATGCAGATGCAGTCTATGCAGCAAAAATCCATGCGTTACCACGTGTTGTGCGTGAGCACAGCGTGATGTCCAATGGAGCTGCAGTCGATCCAAACATCGGTGCAGGGAAGGTTTCACGATTCGCAAGGCGGCTTCTGGACCAGATCAGGCTGAGCCGCCTGGAGCAGGGTGCAGCTCAGCAGCTCCAGGCAGCACAGCCAACTGCTCAATTTGCTGCTGATGCCATGACCTCACAAGAAGAGTTCGGACTGCCCCGCCGGCAATCTCCAACTCTTCATGTGGGGACAGTAAGAACAAACATTTTGCTAACAAGAAGACGCTGCAAGGGCAAGAGGTGGACGTGGCCCGCCAGGAACACGCAGCCGCCCCTTCCTAGCGTGCCAAAGATCATGATTCGCAGCACTTCACCTTAATCACACGCACGACTCAAACACCCAAATTGTCCTGCCATGGTTGTGACCATTGTTAGTATTGCGATTCTTTTTTTTTGTACTGTAATGATCTCGGCTCAGCGGCCCTTTCCTGCATTCGGCGCGTGACGGTCACTGACAGCTCCTTTAGGCCCTTATAAGGCCCGCCCTGTCTCAGCGCGGCCCTCTTCTGATTTTCCGAAGCTTGTTCCTAACTCTTTCTGGTTTCGATCGCGAAAACGAGGAACAGTTTTGTGGATGAGGGCGGGGTCTATAGCACATTCAAGGTGTCACTTTGGGGTTTAGGCTTGAGCTTGGGCTTGATGTGCCTTGCTCCAGGACAACACCCACAAGCACAGCAGTGTTATGATATAGTTCCATTGCATTCTGAAGCCAGCAAACCTAGTACTGCAGTTTGTTGTTCTTGTCGAGTGTTTCCGAACTGTTCTTCTTCCTGCAGTCGTGTTCCGATGTCTCTTCGAGGGTGCAGGGATGGCTAAGTTGTTGAGCATTTTCCAGCTTGCTCTGCAGGCTGAGGAGGAGCCCGATCGAAGCCACAAGCGGACTCCCGTCCGGGGACCTGGCTCTGGGTGTTATTTTTCCGCTACTAGGCTGAGAAGAGAGTTCTTGTGCTTCTTTATGTCAAGTTTGATAAGTAGACTAACTCCAATAGCAGCAGTGATTAATGCCTTTGAACTCACAATGCCCGAAGTAGTCTGAACAGGACGGTGATCACGAGTGTGTGAAGGACACTTCCAGTACTACTGGGACATGTGTTGGAGTCTCCATGCCAACAGTTGTGTGTGTTTCTCAAGCCGGCTTGGCATATCTGAGCCGACCCACAACTTGTCCGCAGAATCGGGTGGGTTTGGTTTTCGGCTGGGAGATGTTACAGAACCAAATCCCGGGCAGTGGCTATGAAAACCCTTCAAGAGCGAGGCCAAAGCCCACAAGCGCAGGAAGCGACCCCATCTAATTCAAGCAGTTGCCTCCCTGAGCTGCCATAAACCTACATCTTCGCAGTGCCCTGTTCGCACCGTATTGGAGGAATCATACGAAACAGTAGGTTCCGGTAGGCTTAAGCTTCTGCAGACGATTGCAGCCCGAGGACTGGAGCCTAAAGTTCCTGGAGCTTCTGGAGACTCAAGCAGGCAAGCACTACTGTTATTGAAGACCAAATCGTCGTGGTAAGAATAATGATAGGATAGTAAAATGCTCATGATAGTAGTAGCTGACGTGATGATCGTAATGTAAGAATAGGAATAGTAATAGTGGTAATAAGGGTCATAATTGCCAACATGCAGTAGTCATGTTGCTTGCCAGTTCCCAGCTGATGCAGGATCCGCGCCTGGGTTCAGAAAGTAAGAACAAAAAAATAGATCATGATTGTAGTACGAATTGCAGTATGTTCTTGCTCATGCTCGGCTTCTTGCCTGCAAAAGGGTCTTCTGTGGGTGCAGTGCCTGTTGCTGTTGGTGAAGAGTGAATTTTTACAGTCCCGCTCCTTGGACCTTCCCCGTATCATCCGACCGCTCCAGACATCGACGCCGACACCATTTTCGGTAGCCGAGCCTGGTCCTTACGGCGACGAAGAGTGTCAGATGACCAAGTTTGAATGCGATAGCCCCTAGCCCTTGCATGCGGCGGATGGCTGTCATAGTAGAAGGCGTGCTCACATGCGACAGCTTGTGATGTCATGCTTTGCCAACGGTGACTAATTTTCGGAGGGTCTTCCAACTGTTGCGATTCGGCAAGCCAAGTCGCCGTGGCACGGGCGATTCTGGAACTCGCAAGCGAGACTTCCTGGAGGGGTCAGAAGTTCCGAAGCAACCTTCCATCACCTTCGACGGTTGGAAAGACTCACACAGCCTCTCAAAGTGAAGGCAGGAAGCCTACGACGTTAGGTTTTTCGATGTCTCACCTCGCAGAAGACTCCCAGGTGCCCCGCTGTGACCTGGAGGAGATTTTCACCGACCGGGACTACTTGAGGCGAAGGGTTCGTCATCATAATACTAGTAAGCTTTGTAGGGCTTGAACAAGATAATTATGATACCACCTCTTCTGAAGGGTCTTTTGAATGAATCTTCTGGATGTTCGTGGGTAACAGCCGCAGCGAGACTGAACTCCGGCCTGCTTCTTATTTTGAGGCTGCAAGGGGTCACTGAGGATCACTGAGCGCGTGTCCCTGTCCACAACATGCAGGTGTATATTTACATGTTTATGTATACACATCTACATTTACAGGTGTACATATATATATATAT